TCTAATTTCATAGACAACAGAAGACTTTAGGCTCGCGCCTTGTAAAAAAGCAAAGCAAATTATTTCCCAGTGGGAAACTTTCACTTCTTTTTGCGCATCATCGGTTAATGGCTATTTTAATCTAATTTAAATACAGCATCGAATTTGCTATTCCTGAGCCACGTTGCGCAAGTAGAATGAGGAACTAATTTGATTATCTGGACCTAATCAAGCATCTTAACCAAACCGATGTTTGCTCTGTTCAGTGTTGTTCCGATCGCTTCTCAGTTGCTCTTCCTCGTGTTAAGTCACAGATTTTCTAAGCTTTTGCAACCGAAAAGCTCCGTTAGTTCCAGTTATAGAGAACTAGAGAATCCCTCTATTTGGGCAGTTTCTTACATTTAAATATAACAGTTTTTCTTGCTTTCACCGGCACGAAGTTACACAAGCTAACAAGGCAATTTTTACTGTTATTCCCGATCACATATTTTGGTATGTTAATGTTATAACAATTGATGTCTAATCACTCTCTCTACAGGGTGATTCCTCACTCTCAGTTGGCGTCATTCCTCTGGGGGTGTCTTAGGAGTTCAGAAAAATAGTGAAAACAATTAGTTGTTATTAAAAACTGAGAAATTTGCCAAAAACTATAGCAGAAGGACGGCAACAATGTTTTCCGAAGTGGTCTGTCTCATGAGCATTACGTAAATAGCCAACTCGACAGGATTGGTTAAATGTAGGGATCTACTTTACTTCCAACGACAAATTGTTCGTTGTTGTAATCATAACCTCCAATTGTTGTGTATACAAATATACATACAAGTAATGTGCACTCTTTTCGGGCAGCTTCTCGTATTCGGTTAATGAAGTGCTTCATTTTCCAGTTATTACTGATTAATCAGAATAAATCAAACAGATTTATAATTGCAATGAGCATCAAGTGGAACCGTAATTCATAATTGAAATTAACGCAAGTATTTTCTTTTCTGGAGGTTTTATCCGATAAATTCAGTTCACACCTTTTTCGGCAGCGAATTGAAAAAGTTGGAAAATTAACATAATCAAGTGGATCAAGCCGAATAAGGAAAAAAGCTGCGCATTTTTAATTGGTGATTTATTTTATTACCACATTTCCAAGAGCAGGAAATTTGCAATTGTCGTACTGCCGCAAAAACTGTTTGTTTCTGGGGTTTTTTCAACTCTTGACCGTTAAATCGCGATTACGATCAATTTTACTGGGATTGTGAATGAAGGCCCAATTAGTGACATAATAGCATCGCTAATTGCGCCAATTCATGAGAACACTTTTGAGACATCCTGAGGATGTGACAAAAACACCGTGATGAAACGTCTGACCAAAGCCTGTTTACTTGAACCACTCCAAATGCACACTTTAACACGCTGATTATACCTTCGGTTAATCACCATTTAACCGCTTTTAGTCATTGTCTATTCCTACTAATTTTTGCGGGTTTTTTGATGCTTTAGGGACCCGATTTTGCCCAAAAGCGTTTTCTCGGCTCGTTCAACTGAAGATTTTCACGCTTATTAGCCTGAATCCAATTTTCAGTTGGTGGCTCAGGTTTTTTAATGGCAGAAAATTAACTTAAACTCGTTTCATATCGGAGCGTGTTTTCCGAAAATCTGGATTCCTTGCCGTAATGTGAACTTAATTGGCGCAGTTAAAGTGCACTTCTTAAACACGTTTCTTACTCATTGGCGCATCAGGTTCATTGTCTGCGCTCCACTAACTTTAAAGTTCCAAGGCTCATTGAATCTAGTAGGAATATTTAATTTGGCGTTTTTTTGAACTACAGCTTTGATAAAATTGCCAACATTTAAATGTTGAATGAATGGTTTGCAAAGAAGAAATTACGAAAATTGCTTCCAGCTTCCAGCACTTACCAGTGTTTTGAGCTTCGATGCAGCAACCACAAACAATCACAATAACACAAAGTCCGCTCCAAATGGACAGCATGGTCGTATCAAGTAACTTATCGCCTTGGACGAGACACTATTCTTTTGTTCTTGAGCGGGCGGTAACGAAATTTTAACTAAAACGTCCATGCGAAATGCCAACAATCGCCAAACCAAGTGGCGCAAACCAGTTTCTGTCTTTTTCCCATCCATCGGCGGTGGTTTGGCGAAAGTGAGACAAACAATGGTTGGTTTGGTGGAGGCTAAATGGGTGCTTACGATTTGCACCTTTCACTTTGTCGGCTGCAGGTTTAGGTGCGCTAATATCATTTTCATATCGATAAAATGTCCACTTTGGCCTTAGGATTTTCAAATTTGCATTTGCTCTTCTGGGAGTAGTTGTTATGGGTGAATCCTCGATGAGCGAGCCCATATTTTAGGGCGTGTTTTAGATGGGAATAAAGATGCCATTTTCACTTAAAAATTGACGAATTTTGCATTAAAACAATATTCATATCAACATTTTACTTGCGTGTTTTTTGAGCTCAATCGATACCTTTCGACGTAAGAAGGTCACAAATGTGCATTTACAAAGTGGTCAATAATAAGGAAGAAATCGTCGGCAAAAGATCGTGAACATCCGCAAAATCCACTTGAACATAACGATGCTTTTTTCGAAGTTTCTCAAGAACCGTTCGAGCCACAGAATTCGTTTTGGCATCGTTGGATAGAGAATTGAAAAGTCGATTCAGTCGTAACAACGTGAGTGAGGAAATTCGAATAGTTTTGACCCAGAAAGCGAAATTTGAATATCAGACACTTAGATGCAAGATTATGCCAAAATTCCATGTTTTCCGTCCCCTTTTTGCTCATATCTCGGAGGCAAAATGAGCAAAAACGCTCATTTGTACGTCATTCTAGAGAGAAATAAATGGCCTTTTTAGCAAGTGAACCATCGATAAGGAAATGTTGACAGTTTTCTC